CCAGCACCACCCGCGTGCGGGTTTTTACGGTAAATTTTTTTTTTTTTTTTTTTTTTACAGTGTGGGATGATGGCCCAAAGAAAAAATTGAACGACTTGAACTTAAAAGTGCCGTATAAGACTAATTAATATCTGGCGGTGATACTGTAAATGCAAGAAATACACAAACTACTAAAGTTATGAACACTTACAGGGCAGTACTGGACTTTTACTATTGTTCATTTATTTGAGAAATTACGTTGTTTATTTCAGAGTTTGTTTTCCTTTCTTTTGTAATGTATCATGTATAACAAATGTTGCTGCTTCTACGGAGTAACTCTGTATAAGTGATGTTGCAGCATTGTTCTGTTGTCATTACTGTTTTGGTAATAAAACGCTTTATTAATTTTAACCAGCGTGAAGTGTTACATGAAGGCGAGTGGAGTTTGATCCCTTTGGTCGGAGAGGGGTCATCTCTACGCTACTTCTGGTTTCATTCATTGGAGACCCTCCTGTCCTATTTAAATGGACCTTTTACTAAGTTAAAGACCTCTGTCTGTTTCTAACCTGTTATTTAGGTGAGTCTTTAATTTTGCTCCTCTGTTTCTCGTTGTTTGTTTATGTAGTAATGGCTATATGTGTATGAGAAATCTTGAGATCTTTGATTCAGCTTTGTTCAATTCTGCAGGCTGAAAAAGCACTTTTCATTATGTTAGTATGCTTGCTTGTTTTTATTTTTGATGAGTTTGAATGATATTGGATGTGCATATGTGAACATTAATGGATATTAATTAGGATCAGTAAGAAGAATTAGAAATGACTAATGTTCTACTAACAAATGTTCAGATTTTGTTTAGGTTGCTGTTATATTTTTACTTGCCTATTTAAAGTAAAACGGACTAAATCAGTAAAATATATACTTATGTTGTTTAGTATACATACTTGGGTATTAATTAGTATGGCAGTTACTAATGTTGTGATTTTCAGGTTTAGGCTACACCTTATTGTCATTTTACAATGTTAATTTCTAGGTCTATAGAAAGAGATCTTGACTAAACTTTTAATTCAGTATTATGAACAACCGGAAAAGTCATGGAAATTCACTGGTCAAAAGTTGTGGGAACCCTGTGCTAGGTTAAGGTGGAAGAAAATGAAAATGCCTTTACAGACTTCAATACTAAAATAATACTTTACATCCTAAACCTGAACAATATTTATCATGCAGGCTGCTATAAGCATGTTTGCATATATTTCTCTCTTCTGTCGAGAGTAAAATTGATTCAATCCAGTAAATCTGTGAGGAAACATGGTTTTTGTATGGCTTCTTTATCAAATTTGGATTTGAAATCAGAAAATGTGAGTATAAAGCCATTTCTGAGTTTTTCCCAGTGGTCCTTTCTTAGGAGTTAACATTTTAGTTTTACACTCCATAGGGAAACATTTGCCATTTTTTCTGTAACTTATACCCAGTATCTCTGTGAATCTTGGAAAAGCATTAACATGCAAATACAGGCTAGATAATGTATAATCATCTTCATATTATTACATTGAGTGTGTTTGTCAAAGTGTGTAGATGAGAGCGATTATCTACTGTCTGTTGTCTTAAAGTGACACACACCTGAGAAACTCCTCATGGCTGCCACCGAGCATCCCGTCGTTTCCCCTTCCCCCACCGCCGAGGACACATCGCGCCCGACCACCCTGGCCACCACAGATATAGTGGTGCTTGTCATCTACTTCCTCTTGGTTCTGGCAGTGGGCTTGTGGGTAAGTTTACTGAAATCACAAAATGCACAGCTGTATCGTGATGATGTGTTTCACAGTGACAAAACTCTATAATAAGTGTTTGCAGGCTTCAAGTTCTTGTTCTCTCTGTAATATCACACACATCGTAGCTGAATTTTACACCAGTAAACGTGTTACTTATCATATTTATGGCTTAACATCTTGTATATGGCGTATTTATAACCTTTGCTCACTCAACAGTCCATGTGGAAGACCAAGAGAAGCACAGTGGATGGATACTTCCTTACTGGCAAAAACATGACTTGGTGGCCGGTGAGTGAGTAAATCTCAAACCATATATATTTGCATAAAGAAAATAAAGTCTATTTTTCGGAGCATTGACAATTTTGACATTATTTTCGTTTCTGTAATACAAAAAAATATATGCATTATACTGTGTTACAGTGTTACTACCAAAACATTATTGCATAAAGAAAAGGAAGCCTATTTTTAGGACCATTAACATCTGCCATTATTTTTGTGACAATTAAAAAGGGTTAGTTCACCCAAAAAAGAAAATTAGGCTGCGTTTTACTCACCCCCGAGGCATCCTAGGTGTATATGACTTTCTTCTTTCAGACGAATCCAGTCGGAGTTATATTAAAAATTGTCTTTGATCTTTCAAGCTGTTTAATGCCACTCAGCGGGTGTTGCATGCATCAGTCCAAAAGAACTTAAATAAAAATTGCCCATCCATAAAAAAAAGTCTCACATGGCTCCTGGGGGTGAACAAAGGCCTCCTGTAGCGAATCAATGCGTTTTTGTAAGAAAAATATCCGTATTCAAAACGTAATAAGCACTTTAATGTAGCTTGCGCCAACAGTTGTAGACGGAAGCAGCTCCAGGAGGATGACGTATGATTTGAGCGTTGCGCATGTGCTGGTGAGTCTCGTGAAAACCAACGTTTGTTAACAGGAGTAAAGGAAGCAAAATTTCCTTACTTTAGCAAAGGAAAACCAGTCTCCTCTTGGCTTATATCAAAATCCTCCGACATTCTTCTTTACAAATGCTCGTTTTGTACTTCTAATTCTTGACCATTGTTTTGCTTTGATCTCTCCGCTGTGTTTCCGAGTGCGTCACTTCTGAGCGGCGCATGCGCAAACCGTTGTTTTGTTTTGATCTCTCCGCTGCGCTTCCGCGTTCGTCACTTCTGAGCAGCGCATGCGCAACGCCAACCTCATACGTCATCCGCCCCGGAGCTGCTTCCGTTTACAACAGTAAGCGCAAGCTAGATTCAAGTGATTATTACGTTTTGAATATGGATATTTTTCTTACAAAAACGCATCGATTCGCTACAGGAGGCCTTTGTTCACCCCCCGGAGCCGTGTGAAACACTTTTTATATGGACGGGTGCTTTTTAAGTTCTTTTGGACTGATGCATGCAACACCCGCTGAGTGGCATTAAACAGCTTGAAAGATCAAAGACAATTTTTAATATAACTCTGACTGGATTCGTCTGAAAGAAGAAAGTCATATACACCTAGGATGCCTCGGGGGGGTGTAAAACGCAGCCTAATTTTCATTTTTGGGTGAACTAACCCTTTAAGCACAATTTCCCCACCAGCTCTTATTTCTGTAATACAAAAGTATATTTCTCATTACTGTCATGTAATTCGCATGCATATTACAGTGTTATTTTACCAACACTATTATACAATTATAGTTTTTGTTAATATTTTGAATAAGATATTATTTTCATATTTTCATTAAAATTTTAGTTAGTTTTAGTAATTTTGTTGTTTTTATGTATTTATTTGAAAATTTCCCGATTTTATGCATTTCATTTTTAGTTTGTAGTGCTTCAAGTTTAACTAAACAAGAAAAATAAGAAACTTTTTTCAAATGTAATTTAATAAAAAAAAAATTAAAGTTTTTTTTTTTATTAATATTTAATTCATTTAAAGTTTATTTTATTTCAAGGAAAATTGTTTATGGTTTTAATTTTAATTAACAATTTGTGATGATTAATGTCTTAAAATTGTCATGAAAATGATGAAATGACCTATAAAATAGGCCTATTATTCAAAATGATAATGATAAATGATATATATCCCTTTTAATTTCGGGGTGAAATTTGATCTGGGGAGATTCATGTTATAAAAGTTAAGTATAATATATTTAAATAGACTTATGAACCTTAGATCAAGTGTAATTTCCATCTCATCTGTCATATTTGT